CATCATTTGATAAAGCGAATGAAACTTTACAAAATGCATTAATACGTTTTCCATCGATGCTTAAATATATACTTGATAAATTATCAATAAGACCAGATAGAACAGTTGAAAAATGTCGATATTTTTCTGATAGTGAACGATATGAAACCGAGGCACTTAAATGTATACAACAATTATATGCTGTACGAATGTCAAATGAATGGAAAGAAAAAGATGAATTAGACTTTTTAAAAGATAATGTTAATCATGTTATACAAATTATTGAACAGAATCAAGATCCAAGAATTGCAAACTATACTGAATTGTAAATTTAAAAGAAATAAAATATATATTGATTATTTTATTTATTTATAGAAGAAAAACAGAGTATCGTAAAACACCAATTAATGTATGTCGACATATTGTTTTATCAGAATCAAATGAAATAAGAGGATTTCTAACAAATGTATGTATATATGAAGAAAAAAAACGAAATATTATATAATTTTATTTGTATAGGCTATGCAAAATGCAAATACATTTTATACATTTGATCCATTTCCTCCAACAGATTCTATCGTTGGTTTTCAACGACCGGAAAGGTAGAATTATTTTTTATTACTCTCTATTTGATTTTACATTATTTTTTTAGACCTACCATGCAAGTGAATAGTTCATACAATTCATTTGGCATGTTTCTTCGATCATTAATGCCAAATTTCAATTTAGAAGTAATTATTAAAAAAAACAAAATGAAATCGAATTATTTCTATAATCTTTATAGAATTTTCTGGTCGATCCGAATGCTCAAGGTGGTGCTGTTGGTGGTGGTGACAATGACGTCGGTATGTTACAAGCATTACAAGAAAGTATTCGTGATTTCATTCGTGACATTGGTGTTACTAATATTCATGAAGATCAATTGCAACAACCTCCAGGAGAGGATGACAATGAAAATAATAACGAATTTGATTGAAAAATATGGTTGTTTATAAAAGAAATATATATGGAAAGAACATAAAAGGAAAGAAAATATTTTAACCAAACATAAAAAGCATTGTAGAAGATCATCTTGTAGAATAAGATTAAATCGAAGAATTTGTTGAACATGTCGTTGTAAGATGCGCTCAGAATATGAATATTGATCGAAGTGTTTTATATGTTGTCGACGAACATTTGCAACATTTAGAAGACTACACCTAGAGAGGATGTCAGCATGTAGAATGTTCTTAATATATGACCAATATTTTGAGGAAATATTACTACCTCTTTGCATTTGAACGAATGCTATCATGAATTCATCAAATGTCAACACGCCTATTATGAAAAATTAATTAAATTAGCAAAACAATGTTCTTTTTTTTTTGTTCGTATTTTTCTTTTACCATTACGATCAGTATCGAACATCATGAAGAATCCTATGAGTAACCGTCAAAAATCAGAAAGAAAAAAAAAATGAAAAAAAAAACTTGAAACGAAACTTCATACGTTCTGCGTCCATATCCATATTATACATATTCGCATTTGGATTTATTTGTGGATATGCTATTTTAAATTCGTTCACATTCATCCTATATATTATATAATAGAAAAATAATTTTTTTTCTATTCTTTACCGTCCATTTTTTCCTGCTCGATCTGTAAATGCATCATGGATTTGTTGAATAACATATGGTTGTAGTTGAGTTTGTTGACTATAAAGTTGCGTTTGTTGAGATGATAATTTTTTATTTTTGCCAAACATACTTCCCATATTGTTTATTTTACGTCTTTTCTTTCACAAATGAATATGAAAATATTCATCGTTTATGTTCTGCTTCAATGCACATATAATCACAAAAAAATTTGTTGTTTACCTTCACGGTTACGAAGGTTGGTTTAGACTACAAGAAAAATGCATTTATCTATATATATATTTATTATATTTGTTTTAGATAAGAGATTTAAATAATTATGATTAAAGCAATACTTGTATTCAATAATTCAGCTAAACCACGATTAATAAAATTTTTCGAATATTATCCCGAAGAAATTCAACAGCAAATCGTTCGAGAAACTTATCATTTAGTATCAAAACGCGATGAAAATGTATGTAATTTTCTTGAAGGTGGTTCACTAATTGGTGGAAATGATTATCGTTTAATTTATCGTCATTATGCAACATTATATTTTATATTTTGTGTTGATAGTTCCGAAAGTGAATTAGGTATACTTGATTTAATTCAAGTTTTCGTTGAAACACTTGATAAATGTTTCGAGGTAAATATTTTTAATTTTTAAATGAAATGTAATTGGAATTAATTTCTTAATATTTAGAATGTCTGTGAACTTGATCTTATTTTTCATGCGGATAAAGTTCATTATATTCTACAGGAATTATGTTTAGGTGGTATGGTATTAGAAACAAGTATGAATGAAATTGTTGCACGAATTGAAGAACAATCGAAATTAGAAAAACAAGAAGCAGGAATATCAGCTGCACCAGCAAAAGCAATGACAGCATTAAAAGAAATGAATTTACCGCAAAAGATCAAAGATATTAAATTACCTGATTTGAATCTTAATTTACGTTTTTAATTATTATTATTATTATAGTCATTTATTTATTTATTGTTGTATTTCTATGTGTATAAATAAAATAAAAAAAAAAGATAAAATTGTGTATCACAAACTATTTTTCATATGCAATGATAGAACAAGCCAAAGCATAATAATGAAATTTTAATAAAGACTTGTTCTTTAGGATATGTAACAATTACATCGATTTTTATATTATAAGTTATCTTAATTGAATCACTGAATAATATTGATGTTACGGAAAAAATCATTTTCTTTTTTATTAGTTGATAGCAAATAGGTATATTATTTAAAATGTACATATATTTTGATTATTAACCATTTTATTGATAAAAAGATTTATATTATTTATCGATGACGAAAACTGAAGAAAGGAAAAAAAAAGAATGGATAGTCGCCTACTCTCTCTCTCTACAATATTCTACTATTAGATATGTGCCAGATCATCATTTGCATCAGATTCCGATCCCGAAATAGCTTGTCGTTTGTCATTACGTGAACCTTTGCCGCTGTCTTTTTTAGTTCCTATTAGATTTTTTGCATTTAAATTTCCAGAATTTTTCGGCATTCTATTTGGATTATAATAATCATTTTCATCTTCTTCTTCTTCACCAGATTCTTCCTCTGATGCACTTTCAGCATTGCCTGCTCGGGCGTTTGGATTTCGAGGTAATCCAGCTTCGTCATCATCTGACTCTTCATTATTATAACGTTCATCAAAGATAACATCATCTAATCCATCGGTATTATTTGTTGTTGATTCAGCTATATTAATATTATCAGGAATTTCACGAATACGTTTCAATTCTCGAGCTTCATCAGCTAAAAAGAAAAAGAAAATTCACTGTATAATTCTTTTTTTCTATGTTAAATTAATTTATTCAATAAATATCTTACCAAGATATCTCATAATAACATCAGCTTTATCATCTTGATAATCTCGTAAACCAACGAGGATAACATCACCTTGATTAATCCATTGTTTTTTTCGTAATTTACCACGAATATGACATAAACGTTTTTTTCCACCGGCAGTATCGAAACAAAATGCTTCTAAATGACCATTGCCTAAAATACGTGTAACTTGAGCATATGATTGACCTTCTTCTCGAAGAATTAATTCTCGTTTTACATCATCATTTTCATTTTTACCACGACGACGATTTTTACCACCTTTTCCTTTATTTTTTGGCATTGTATTATTTTGATTACTTGCTTTACGTGTTTGACGTTAACTTCGAAAAAAAAACTAGTTATTTATATAAAGAATATATAATGTAATAAATGAGTCAAAGTCTATGAATCCATAGAATTAATGACGTAAGGTTCTTTTATAAAAACCCATTCATAAATAAATGGGAAAAAACAATCAACACTGTATATAAATGGTAGGTTTTTTCTCACCATTCAGTTACAGTTCATCGATAGATGTCGATATATGTTCACAAAATATTAATTAATCTTATTGAAATCTCTTAATGTATTACATTAAATTTGATCTGACACATGAAAATATTTATAATATAAATTGTTCATAGATAACAAATAAAAGACAAGTATCAAATAATATAATTGTCCGTAAGAGTAAGCGATTTGACTGATTGATTAAGAACTATTAACTAGAGATGAATTCTAATGCGTAATATGTGTTTATATATTATGTAGCAGTAACAGAATAGTTAAGACGTTAAACATGCTATTAATGAAAGCAAT